GGAGTGGGCATGGAGTGGGCATGGTGGATGGGCAATGGTGGAGTGGGCAATAGTGGGATGGAGTGGGCAATGGTGGAGTGGGCAATGGTGGAGTGGGCAGTGTGGAGTGGGCTAATGGTGGAGTGGCAATGGTGGAGTGGGCAGTGGTGGAGTGGGCAATGGTGGAGTGGGCAGGTGGTGGGCAATGGAGTGGAGTGGGCAATGGTGGGAGTGGGCAATGTGGGAGTGGGCAATGGTGGAGTGGGCAATGGTGGAGTGGGCAGGTGGAGTGGGCAATGGTGGAGTGGGCATGGTGGAGTGGGCAATGGTTGGAGTGGGCAATGGTGGAGGTGGGCAATGGTGGAGTGGGCAATGGTGGAGTGGGCAATGGTGGAGTGGGCAATAGTGGAGTGGGCAATGGTGGAGTGGGCAATGGTGGAGTGGGCAATGGTGGAGTGGGCAATGGTGGAGGGGCAATGGTGGAGTGGGCATAGTGGGTGGCAGTGGAGTGGGCAATGGTGGAGTGGGCATGGTGGAGTGGCAATGGTGGAGTGGGCAATGGTGGAGTGGGGCAATGGTGGGAGTGGGCAATAGTGAGTGGGACAATAGTGGAGTGGGCAATGGTGAGTGGGCAATGTGGGAGTGGGCAATGGTGGAGTGGGCAATGGTGGAGTGGGCAGTGGTGGAGTGGGCAAGTGGAGTGGGATAGTGGAAATGTTGGAGTGGGCAATAGTGGATGGCAATTAGTGGAGTGGCAATGGTGGAGTGGGCAATGTGGAGGGGAGAGTGAGTGAGCAATGGTTGGGCATGAGTGGTAGTGGGTGCAATGGTGGAGGGGCGTGAAGTAGGTTGGAATGGTGGCAGTGAATGGTAGTGGATATGGTGGGCAGTGAATGGCAAGGTTGGATGGTGGGTAGTGAATGGAGGTGGCAATGTGGAGGTGGAGGTGGTGTGAGGTGGAGCAGTGAATGGTGGTGGGAATTGGTGGGCAGTGAATGGCTAGTGGTGTGAATGGTGGAGGCAAGGTGAAGGTAGTTGGAATGGTGGGCAGTGAGGAATGAGGTTGTGTAATGGTGGGCAGTGAATGGTAGGTTGTGTAATGGTAGGGCAGTGAATGGTAGGCTGTGTAATGGTGCAGTGAATGGTAGTTGTGTAATGGTGGGGCAGTGAATGGTAGGCTGTGTAATGGTGCAGTGATGGTAGGTTGTGTAATGGTGGGAGAGTGATGGTAGGTTGTGTATGGTGGAGCAGTGAATGGTAGGTTGTGTAATGGTGGAGCAGTGAATGGTAGGTTGTGTAATGGTGGAGCAGTGAATGGTAGGTTGTGTAATGGTGGAGCAGTGAATGGTAGGTTGTGTAATGAGGGAGATGTTTTGGAATGGTGGGGCAGTAATGGTTGTGTAATGGTGGGCAGTGAATGGTAGGTTGTGTAATGGTGGAGAGTGAATGGTAGGCTGTGTAATGGTGGACAGTGAGTGGTTAGGTTGTGTATGGTGGGGCAGTGATGGTAGGTTGTGTAATGGTGGAGCAGTGAACTGTAGGTTGTGTAATGGTGGAGCGTGATGGTGGCTTGTGAATGGTGTGACAGTGAATGGTAGGTTGTGTAATGAGTGGAGCAGTGAATGGTCAGGTTGTAGTAATGGTGGGAAAACAGATTTTAGCATGATTTTTTGCTGCAATCAATGATGCAGTAGCATATACGAATGCGGTGAGTCTCTGAAACATCAAAGATGTTGTCTCCAGTTCTTTGTACTGTAATGAGTGGCCAGCTACAGCACGGCATGTGTAGTGCCAGAGAAATCAATGAAGCTTAGTGCCTCCACTTGCATATCACGAATGACACGCCTGCTCAGCTGAACACGTTGCAAGACGGTTTGCAGTGGGAGAAAGGTACTGGGCAGTGCATTCTCACTATGCAGACACTTGTCACTCAAGTTGCAAGCTGTAATCAGTCTGAGTGATAAAGTACTGGTGCAGTGAATCTTAGTCATGTGACTTTGCGCTCTGGCAGTGAATGCGAGTCATGACTGATCAAGTAACGTGCAGTGAGTTATGCTTGTCTGTACTGCTCAACGTGCACTGAGCTGTTAGCTACATAATTCATCCCGCTTATTGTACCGCTATGTTCAACAGTACTATGATAGTCCAAAGATCAGTTACTTACGATTACAACTACTTGAACAAAGATCAATTCCTGCCACTAGTTAATTAACTTCATCCACTAGTTAACTTCACTCTACAACTAGATAAAGCTATATACTCTCATCTCAGGGGTTGTGTCACCAAGCTACCTTAACGACTCTTACTTTTGCTGCTGCTGATCACGTTATATATGCCTATGAGGTGTATATCTTTATGTATATACACTGAGAAGTGTATATCTCTATGTATATACACTGAGAGATGTATAGCTGTGTATACGCACTTATTTTTTTGTTTGTTTTTGGTCCTTGTTCATGCAGTAGTGTCCCATATTTTAATGGTGACTCAAGGATTACTATTACTTAGTGACACAAGAATTAGAAAGGGAAATAAACTTAAAAAGACATCGTATTTCAGCGTTTTTCGTTAATAGTAAAATATCCCTTTCCATATCTTTTATTAATTACTTTATCCGACTCTCATATATATAACTATATTCATACATTTATTTATTGGGTATAATTCCTTCACTTCACCCGCTCTAACACCCATCTACCTTCCTTCCTTCTTTCCTTCCATCACCTGAACCACCTGCAACCCTCTCACCTCACCCATACCTTATTCCTGCCATCACCTCTCATTTACGACCACCTTCAAAGATTTTCCTTAGTTTTTTGTCCTAGCAAAGAGGGTAATGAATAAGACACCCTCCTACAACCTCTGCAGGAGGAGCATCAGCATCATTGCTACAAAACTGGGAGGTAAGAAATCATTGCTGAACCTGCCTATGTAGTGATTATCACACACTAACTTCTCACAGTCCATATGGACTGAACCCTTCGACTCCAGAATGAGGGACTCATTACCTCAAACTCCTCATCTTACACCTTTTCGCGCACTGGACTGAAGCCACTGATAACGATAAGTTTCTAGAATAAAGATACCCAAATCTTGCCCAAGTGTCTCATTTTTTAACTTGTCAGTTTTGTAAAACATTTATTTACATACTGTATTGTGTACATCATCTATATAAAGTAATTATAAATATGAAATGATTGATATGCTCAGTGGGGCCTGACAAAGACCCACTGAGACCTCTGTAATCTTGCTTCCTGCGTTAGAGCTAAAACTTAACATTGAGATGTTGCTGCCACTGTTGGAATCCTCCTCTGAACCTTTCTCTGCGATTAAAAACACTGGAGCACTGCTGTAGGTCTACTGGCCCAGGCTATGCAGGTCCACCTCACACCACTGATGTACTTGTTTGCCCTAATACGGTGTAAGATCCATGGTTCGATCCCCAGCAAAGGTAGAAACATTGGACGTGTTTCCTTACACCTGCTCTCCTCATTCACCTAGCTAGTAAGTAGGTACCTGGGTGATAGCCGACTGGTGTAAGTCTCATCCTGGGGGACAATTTTGAAGGATCCGAATAGAAAATCAGTCCTCCATAACTCACTGATTTTCTTGGGTTACATATTTTGGGTGGATAACCCTCCGGGCTAAACTCCGAACAATTTTTTTTTAATCTTATCTTATCTCTTATAAAGTTGAAGAATAGCCTGAGGACTGTTCGCTTTTCTGCGATCAATTACGCACTGTTGTGGATTAGCGTTTAGTTTTGATTATAATAATAACAGGCACTATTGTTTTGGTTTTAGATGACTACTAACCAGAACTCCTAAATATTTTTCGAATTCAGAGTGATTAAGAGCGACATTATTTAGTTTATAAGCGCCGTGGACATTTTCCTTTCCAAGGTTTAGAACTTTGCATTTGTCTGTATTAAACTGCATCTGCCACTCCGACCACTGGATCAGTTTATTCAAATCTTCCTGTAGCGATCTAATATTTTCTTTATAATTAATCCGTCGGCCTATTCTGGTGTCATTGGCAAACTTGCTTATGCCGCTATTTATTCCCTTATGTATGTCGTTTGTGTATATTGTGAACAACAAAGGGCCAAACTTATGCAACACATGGGAATCTTTATTGAAGAAACGTTTCGCCACACAGTGGCTTCATCAGTCCAATACAAAGTAGAAATGGGTAAGGAGAGTAGAAGTATGAGGTAATCAGTCCCTCAACCTGGATTCGATGTGTTCAGTCCATCACTCTTGTAGTAAGGGACTGAACACATCGAATCCAGGTTGAGGGACTGATTACCTCATACTTCTACTCTCCTTACCCATTTCTACTTTGTATTGGACTGATGAAGCCACTGTGTGGCGAAACGTTTCTTCAATAAAGATTCCCATGTGTTGCATAAGTGTCTCAATTCTTCAACTTGTCGGTTTTCAAAACCATTCATCACAAAGGGCCAAACACTGACCCCTGTGGAACATTGACTGTCACGCGTTCCCACTTTGATTTCTCCACGTTAATGCAAACTCTCTGTTGCTTATCTGTCAACCACGCCTCTGTCCAGGCAAAAAATTTCTCCTGCTTGTCCTTGTGTTTTCACTTTCTTCAACAATCTCCGATGCGGAACTCTGTCAAATGCCTTTCTGAAGCCCATATATACAGTGGAAATAAGTCAAGTTGACCTTTTTGGGGCTAACCTAGGTAATTTACACTCATGTTAAAATATGTATGATAATTGTACTTATCTGTATCCGTACCTAAATAAACTTACCATAATGTACCTCCTCAAATTCCTTCTGGGCCAAGTCCGCAATGTGGTGCTCACACCGTGAAGGATACGGCTTTGCTGTTCTGCCCTTTTTGTCGGCTTATATGTGTTTTTTTCTGTATTATATCCACTCTTCTAGAGTCCGAATCTCGTCCTTACCTCTCTTACTTAACGGCAAAGGTTTTGACCCATGATTTCGCCCTCCCTCCCTCCCTCAAAAAAGATAAAACGAAATACTCGAGTAGTTTTCCGACTCCGGAGTTGCGGCCGTCACAACTTGGAGTCGTCACGATCTCTATAACCAACAACAACAACAACAACAACAAGTCTTCACTCACGTTGTTTGTTGATCAAGGAGTAAAACTCTTAAGTCAGTAAGTTTATTCAGGTATACACAAATACAGTTACATAGATTATCATACATAGCAGCATATGTGTAGAGAACCTAAGATAACCTAAAAAAGTAAGACAAAGTGACTTATTTCCATTGGGGTTCTTGAAATTTCCATTGGGGTCCTCTAAATTTCCATTGGGGTCCTCTAAATTTCCATTGGGGTCCTTTAAATTTCCATTGGGGTCCTTTAAATTTCCATTGGAGTCCTCATTCTCTTGGTGTTTAAGACTGGGGTCCACCTGATCTAAGTAAGTTTATTCAGGTACACATAAATACAGTTACATAAATTATAATACATATCAGCATATGTGTAGATTACCCAGGATAACCCAAAAAACTTCAGACAAAGTGACTTATTTCCATTGGGGTCCCCCTCAAGGAAGGTTTCTTGATGCTGGTGAGGGGCTCTTGATCTAGGGAATTGGATCTGTGCTCCAGTTCCCTGAATTAAGCCTGAATATCTTCCACATCCCCTCCCACAGGCACTGTAAAATCCTTTGGGTTTAGCACTTCCCCCTTGATTATAATAATAATGTTACTCATTTCCATCCAGGTTCAATATATGTTGGTGGACTCCCTGGTGGTAGAGCGTAAGTGTCTAGTGTGGTGGCTCTGAATAACCTCAACAACAACACTCGCTACCACAAAAATGAGGCAGTTAAAATATGCCGAGAAAAAGCTACTTAAACATACAGACTTCCTGAAGTGGGAGGTGGACAACAACCTGAAAGAAGTCAAAATTTTGAAGAGGTACATGATACAAAGAAGAGATGATTATACGCTGTAAGTGGGCAAATGTTCTTCGCAGTTTATTTGTTGCCCCTTGGGGGTGATAAGATTAATAATAATAATGTTTATTTATGCCGTACAGATAATATATTTTACAGGAACTAATGCAGTGGCAGGCACAACAGAAAGCTACTAATTATGCAATTCATTTCAGACAACTGATCACTGTGGCCCGTGGTCTGGTAGTCAACTCTCTCACATCACAAGCTATATAGCCCTTGTGGCTTAGCGCTTCTTTTTGATTATAATAATAATAATAATAATAATAATAATAATAATAATAATAATAATAATCTCACATCACATAGTGTCCAGAGATTGATCCCCGGCAAGGGTGGAAACATTAGGTGTGTTTCCTTAAACATGTTGTCCCTTTCACCTAGCAAGCAAGTAGGTACCTGGATGTTAGTCGACAGGTGTAGGTTGCATCCTAGGGGGACAAAATTAAGGACCCCAATGGAAATAAGACACAGTCATTGATTATGCACTTACTTTCTAGGGTTATCCTGGGTAGGTAAACCTCCTGGATTAAAAAACTGAACAAAATCTTATCTTAAGGCTTAAATGTTACTTAAGAACTAGACGTAGACTTAAATAGGACTTTTTGTGCAGTTAACTACAATCATAAGTTCGGATTTCTAACCTGGGGGAGGGTTACCCACCCAGGATAACCCAAAAAAGTCAGTACGTCATTGAGGACTGTCTCTTATTTCCATTATGGTCCTCTAATCTTGTCCCCCAAGATGCAACCCACACCAGTCAACTAACACCCAGGTACCTACTTACTACTAGGTGAACAGGGACAGCAATTGAAAGGAAACAAGCCCAACATTTCCACCTATTCCAGGGATTGAACCATAAACACTGTGTGTGAGGCAAGAGCATTGCCAATCAAGCCACGGGACTTTGTCATCCAAGGAATAAGAATTGTTGTTCCTGTTGATGAGAAATTAATGGATTGTGTTCTCTTATTATGGGGTGCTACAAATAAGAGTAATTGTACAGGTTGGTGGGTGTCGGGCAACAACCACCTTCAGTCACACAGGTTAAATATACAGGTTATTACAATAAGAACAAAATTATCCTTATTAACAGTGAAAATGTATGGCAATACATAAGGAGGCAATGTTTAACTAGACTTCAAAGTAACCATCACTGTATAATGTGACTGAATAAAGAACTTCAGGAAATATACTTCCTGCAGTACTGAAGAAGCACAAATTCATTATATTGTATGCAACAATAACTCAATTGAAATAACCCTAATGAAAGCTTAGAGTAGTGGTGCTTCATAACTGTTAAGAACCCGTTAACTTTGAACCTGTGTAAATTCTAAACACATGGTAACTAATGCCCATTAAAAGGATGTGTTTGACTTTCTTTGTGCCATTATATTGACTTAATTTGCCTGAAATGCTCTGCATAACAAGGTGACCCAAAAGGAAAAACGAAAGTTTCTCCTTTTAAATTTAGTAATACAGCCTCTCTTCACTTAATGATAGAGTTCCGTTCCTAAGACCACATTGGTAAACAAATTCGTCCCTAAGTGAGGAGCATACTACAGTGGTAGTGGATTTGTGTCAGCCATCTTTGATATTGTTTTACTGTCACCTTTGCACCATTGATAACATTTCTGGTGTCTTTTTAAATGTTTACACAGCAGTGTACTGTATATTGTAATAAAGAGAATAGAGGAAATCAGCTCCAATGTACATTATTTAGGTATGAGTACTGGTTAGAGAGTCTGTCATAGTCTGAGTTGTTGGTAAATGAGTACATCACTGAGTGAGGAGAGGCTGTATATACAGGAGAAGAGGTTACTAGCCACTTGCTCCCGGCATTTTAATCGCCTCTTATGACATGTATGGCTTACAAGGAAGAATTCTATTCCACTTCCCCATGGAGATATGAGGAAATAAACCAGAACAAGAACTAGTAAGAAACTAGAAGAAAACACAGTGGGGTGTGTGTATATATATGCTTGTACATGCAAGTGTAGTGTGACCTAAGTGTAAGTAGAAGTAGCAAGACGTACCAGAAATCTTGCATGTTTATGAGACAGAAAAAGACAACCTGCAATCCACTTTTGGATAAATCTATAAAATCCAACAACCGGATATAAACACAAATGCAGTAAATGTGATCCTTTAATGACAACGTTTCCCCTAGTAGTTGGTATTTTACAAAGGACAAACAGAACTACTAGGCTATGGAAAGCAGTATTTTCTTAGTCCGGCTGATGGCAGGTGGAAGAATTCTGCTTCCTAGATGAAAGTGGGGTATAGAGTCAAGAACTTGGTAGACTTGAAAGAAGATAGACAAGAAACAGACTTCTATAGTATCTTATTGGATAGCGATGATGAAGTTTCTTAAGAAGTAGGTTAGCTATGTATAGAAGCCATTTTGGTGAAGTGTCAGATATAGAAATAAGTGATGATCAATTTCGTATTGTGTTTCTTCTGTGGATAAGTCTTAGTTTCGTAGTTTATCAAGTGGTGGTGTAATTACGTGTTGAACGTGCATTCCTTGTGTCGTCAACCTGCTGGAAATTTGGTTTTGAATACATTTGAGGTCCTTGATGTTCGGACCACGGTAACAAGTGCAGTCCATACAAGGGATTATGTAAAAACCTGCAGAGGATGAGGCTTCTCCTGCCTATACTGTGATGTATGTCCTCAATGGTTTGTGAGTTAATAATTGATATGTTTGGTCAAAGATTTTTGGAAACATGTAGGCATTTTAGTAGGTATGAAGGTACTGTGTATCTTTCTCGAGTGTCTTATCTGAGTGTTGGATATTTAGTGATCGCCGTCTGCATGTCTGATAGTGCGAGGGTAATTGTTTTAGTTACCTTTCAATATAGTACAATAATCTCAAGGAACTCGTTGTCGCAATTCTGAGTGTGATTAATTTATAGATTGCAACCAATTGTTTTGCTGTCGTGGTGAAGTAAAAGTGGAGAAGTATTGTTGTGGGTTTTGATTGAGCTTTCAAACGTAAGTTCGTTGGTTGCTTTGAAGTTAGGAACATGGAAAGGAAATGTTGTCGTACCTCTTCTTCCAAGTGTGAACAGGATTTTTATGTTCTGACCTTTTAGTTGTCTTGAGGAGTATTGAAATTTTAAGTTTTAGATTATTAGGAGAGTCGTAACATAGAGGGACAACTTTTTAATTATGGTAGAGAAACGATTCGACTTTTTAATGTTTTCTTGTATAAGTTCGCAGAACATGCAATGAGTCGCGAAAACCTAGAAGTCCAGTCTGCAATGAAAAAGGATTTTCCTAAAGAACACGTTTTTAAACCAAAATAGTTAAGCAGGATCATGAAGTCGCTGGCTGAATAAGATATAATTTTATCGTAAATTTTCTAGCCAAGAATCAGCTTTAATAGATATTTAGTGAATTTGGAAGTCACGTTAAACTGAAAGTTTCTTGTCTGAGTTGATGTATGCGAAGCCACTGAGAAGATCACCTGAGTGTTTGAGATTGCTTGACTGTATGCCCAGAGTTTCGAAAGGGGTATGGCAAATGTCGAGATTATGGGGAGCACTGCCTATTCCCCACTATTCTGCTTCAGTAGCAGGTAACAGTTGTAGAGTCTTGGCACTACATTCGGCAGTTGTGGTTGCTGGGAAGGTGACAAGTTCTCCCCTGTTATAAAACTGCAGATGTCGAGGTTTTGCAGAAATTTAGTAAGTTCATGTTAATTGAGAGATTTAATACTGGTCATTAGTAGATTGAAACATTTGTTTCCCTTAATCGTCATGTTCTGATGACAAAACCACCCCTTTATCAGCGGTGGTTTGCATCATGAAAAACTGAGATTCGGAACAAAATGCCAATCACTTAATGACCCCGATACCTACAAACCCCTCACAAAACCCCAATGGACAATTACTAAAACTTTTCTTTAAAGGGCTCGGATTTTGAGGGGCCAGAACAAGGAAGAAACTTCCACACCCGCCCGAAAACCCCAAACCCGCCAAATGTACGGCCGCCAAAGACCCCCAAGCCTGGTACCCACTGAGGGCCCCTTCCTCGGAATGGGAGTGCTCCACAAGCTCCAGGGAATCTCGCCAAACACCTCTCGAAAACCCTTGGGGACTATCATCCAGCCCTCAAAAACTCGGTGACTTCTCGTCCATTCGAACATCAACACAGGGAACCAGAAAATTTTCCCGCCTTGACGTGACTTCCCCCATTTACTAAAAAACCTACAAACAACCACGATCTTTGGCAAGAAAAATTGCGATTCATTATCTTCCCCTTCCGCCCGCGACTTTACGACCGGGTTTTTAACTATGTGTTGGTTTACGTTTTCTCTTTTGAAAAACACTCTTTCAGCAGACTTTGGGCTACCCATGGGTTTCCCCCATGCGTCCTACGAACCTTTTCATGGAAAAATTAGAAACCGAACGTTTCTCCCCCAATTTTTTCCTTCGTCTGTCACCCGGCCCCCCGTTATTTTACGACATTTTTCCCCATAACTCCCAAAAACTTTAACTTCAAGCTCTCCAAAACAAGCTCAACCAGTCGAGCCCTTTAAACCAGTTTACACTTAAAAGAGGTCGACAACACTTCCTTTCCTTGATGTTCTACTCTGCAAGCTGACCCCGAACTTCGTTTTAAATTCTTCGAAAACCCCCCAACCAAAACGATTTTTCCCCTTCTACTCTCCCAGACACCCAAAAACCAAAACGGGTGTAATTATAGGCTTTTTCCCGCGTGCACTCAGAAACTGCAGCAACGATTTTCCTGAGGGAAAAATGCACAAATTGAAAGGTATTTTCCAAAACCCCCTATCCCGTCCTTTTATCAAAATGCAACGGGGAGCACTAAAAATCTTCAACACCCCAGAGAAGACCTCCCAGAAGAGATACATATCCTTTCCCCCCAAATCCCTTTCCAAACATTTCCCAAAATTTTGCCCCAAAAAATCATTCCAAATATCTACCCCCACAACCATGACCATCAAGGACACACCATAGTACAAGACAAACCTCCATCCTCTGAGGGGTATTTAACCCCTTTTAAGAAGAACAATTATACGTGGGGGGAAACTCAAGGGACCTCCAAACCTATTCAAACACCAATACCAAGCAGGTCTGACGACACAAAAATGCATCGTACAACACCCAATTCACACAACCCCTTTATAAACACAGAAACTCAAGACTTTTCGCCAAGAAGACAACACCCCAAAACCGAAGAATCTGGAATCACACTTATTTCTATATCCACAACCAACCGAATATGGCTTCATAACATAGCTGAACCACTTGCCAAAAAATTTTTCATCGCTCCCCCCATAAAAACTGTGAAGGGCTGCCCAAACTTTTCCAGTTCCCTTTTTCCCAAACTACCCCGTTTTTTGACCAAAACCCCAATCGGTACATCATCAAAGCACATTCTTCACCCCGACCTCCCGGTATAAATACTCGCTTTCCTTCCACCCCAGGGATTTTTGTTTGTGACTTTAAAAGCCCCCGTGTGGGGAAACGAGTCAATAAGGATCACTTTTTACTGCATTTGTTTTATTAAAATCCCCTTTTTTCTTTCAACACACCGGCCCTATCCCACGGCAGGTGCCCAAAAGAAAAAAGAAAGTTTCCCTTGTACGTTTGTAATTTGTACAGGGAAGGAGTTACAGCCCCCCTTTTCATTTCAGTTTCCTCTTAGGCATGCATGGCTTTGGAGAAGAATTTTGTTCACTTCCCATGGGGATAAGTGGAAATAAACAAGAACAAAACAGTAAGAAAAAAAAAAAACCCCCAAGGGTTTTGTGTAAAAATGTAAGTAGAAGAAAAGAGTACCTGAAATCTTGCTGTTTATGACGAAAAAAAAAACCCCAGCAATCCCTACCCTCATATAAAACAATTTCAGGCTTTCGTTTTAACTCACTTTGGGAGGATGGTAGTATTCTTTGGGCAATTGCTGTCTCCAACCCTCTACCTAGGGAAAAGAAATATTATTTTAATATTATTATGGGAACCCCAGGTATCAAGGAAGTGCCAAAATGAAGAAACCCGGCAAATATTTAAAAAAGAAGCACACTTCTCCAGGGTAAACCCGTGATTAAATTTCCTCCAAATGTTTTTTTCACTTATTTAAATTTCCATTTCTTTACAGTTGTGGTTTTTGTAAGGATTTTTGTATATAAGAATGTACTTACTTACTTATTTATGTTTTTTAAAAGCATCAAAGTTTGTTGAAAAGTTTTGTGATAAAAATTTTTAGGGTATATTGGGCTAATTTATTAATTTCTCTAATTATTCAATGGCTTGACAATAATTGTTCAAAAATTTTTTTCCAAAAACTTTAATGTTGTTATTAACTTTATTATTTTGCAATTCTCAAAAAATCATCTTCCTTTATTTGAGGAAAAGATGTTCTTAAGTTCAGGCATTGAATTGTTGCACCTAAGTCATTGGTTTTTTTTAAGTTTAGGAGAGTGGAAATAAAGTTGTGTACATTGTTTATGAGTCTGCACAATCTTCACAATTTTTTTTATTTTTCTGCCTCATTTTGTTTCTTTCATGGACTGTATATGGAAATATTGTAAATTTGTCATTTTGAATTGGTGTACATTATAGGGTACTATTTTTTTTTAATTACTGTATATACAACTATAATTGACTTTCCAAGTGTAACAATTCTTGTGTAAATTTCAGATACAACAAGATGTCCAGAGAAACTAGAGAGTTGGCAAATAAAATAAAGGATTTAGATCCTAAAGACCCTTTTAGAATGGAAGCTAGTGGAAGGCTTATTGAAAAATTGTAAGTATCTTTAACATTTTTATTAACTTTTTTATAAAAATTTATAGCTTACTAAACAGCTTAACCTCAGATATTGGAGATTCCACGAAGATGCCTGGTAATACCTTAAACCAATTTTGAGAGATTTGTTATGACAGCCCGAGACCAGATTGGACTATCTCATCAATCAAGTTATTGCTTTCTGTATCCTGTGTTTCATAGTTCAGTATGAACTATGGATGAGGCAAGATATATGAGCAAATCTTCTTACACCTACTATTCCTGTTTATGAAGCAGTAAATAGGTATATGCAGTATCCTGGACTAAGTTGGCTGTTGTGGTTAGAATTCTAGGGGGAAAAGACCTAAGGACCCCAGTTGAAATAAACCACACTGCTAGACTTTCTTAGGTTTTCCATAATTATTAACCTTCTGAGATTAATCATAAAATAAAACTTCATGGTATGTCACCAATGTAATCATCTCTGCTATCTCCATTTTTGCATCCAATACTGAGTATGTTGATGAAGTTTTTCAGTTTACTGCTCTTCATTAGACTTAAAGCAGCATAGCTCTTAGGTATTATAATTTGCTACCCAAAAATTACCAAAAAAGTGAGATGGAGGCAAACAAGAAGACAACAAGGGAAGGTTGGCATGAATGTTAAAGTTACTTATATGCACTGAGCTACTGAATACCACTAATGATGCAGTCAAAATTTACACACTTTGTATACAGTGCTCCACGTCCTCCATTTTTGTGCCTGCATAATTCTGTAATTGTTACATAAAATTTTACATTTTCAGTGTAATTGCCTTTAGAAAAAGCTTCTCTATCATTTTAGATGATAAATACTTTTGAAAGATTGCAACACTGACAGCATTTTTAATTTTGGGGCTCACAACAGTCATTGGGTTAACACACCAGCCATCTCCCACCAAGACAAGGAGACTCAAGAAAGAAGAAACGCTTTCATCATCATTCATTCATTCAATCACTGTCTTCCCAGAGTGATACCAACATTGCATCTTTGATGACCTTCTGAATTGCAACATCCCACCCCTCCTTCAAAGTGCAACATACTTTCCATCTCCAGGACTCAAGTCTGGATAACCAGTTTTCCTGAATCCATTCACAAGCGTTACTTTGTTCACACTCCAACAGCACGTCAAATCATAAAAACCACTTGTTTCCACTCTATCTAACATGCTTGCACAAGCTTTTCAGATGTCCAAGCCTTTAACATTCAAAACCTCTCCACCCTTCCTGAAATGACCTTTGTCCCTCCTTTTCTCCACTCTTGATTTATATACTCTCCTAGTTATTTTGTTTTGCTCCATCCTCTCTGAATGTTCCCTTAAACTTCTTAATTATTCATGTGTTTCCTTTCATTTCTATGGGAGAGTGAAGAAGATTGCTTCCTCTATCAGCCATATGTGTCATTAAAAGAAACTAACATGCTGGGAGTAAAGGGCTAGTATCCCATTCTCCTGTATAAATTATTAAATCAAAAAGAAGCAAACAAAAAAAAGTATGCTTTAATTTTTTTAATGCTTTAGTTATTCACACACACCTTCAACTATATGTGTTGTCATTTAGTTCACTTCAGTTCTTGATGACAAATGACAATAATGTAGGAAAAGACCATACAGGGTTATGCCTTGAAATGGGGCAAACAAGAGTTCTTGATTCAAGACTCTTCAGTCAGAGAGAGTGAGTGAGAGTGAGGCAGGACTTAACTCACCTGCTGCACCCAACTGAATTCTCAAAAAAACCATACCACGGGCGGGGATAGAACCCGCGATCAGAGAGTCTCAAAACTCCAGACCGTCGCGTTAGCCACTGGTTAGCATAGTGGTGCCTATGCTAACCTTCCTATGGTGTAGAAATATACCTAGTTGGACGAATCTTATTGTGGCTAGCTGGTCCAGTGGCTAACGTGATGGTCTGGAGATTTGAGACTCTGATCGTGGGTTCTATCCCCGCCCGTGGTATGGTTTGTTTGCAATCATGTCATTACGATTTTGTGAGTCAACTGAATTCTTACTTGTAAATATTTTCCCCTGGCATGCATTTTATTTTTATCATTGCCTGACTATATATTTTCCAGCCACAGCCTGTGGGATAAATAATCTGGTCAGTATACATCACAGCCACAGTGAAACAGTGAAAGTGATTTGCAACTCAGATTGTGCATAACCAAGTTAGTGTCCACAGTAAATGATGAGCATTAGCACTGTAAGGAAATATATTTATTCACTTTAACTTCCTGTATGGAAGAGGCAGCAAGTGAAAGTAAGAGAGAAGATAGTATCAGGCAAGAAGAAGAAAATGAGTCATTAGAAAAGTAGAAAAGAGGAAAGGTGCAGGAGAGAGGACTAGAGGAAAGAGAGCAGGTGACATCCCAGTATATGCAGGATTTTATGCTAAATCACATGTAATCCAATCAGTTTTACATGAGAAAAAAGGTGCTGGCAATACAGTATCTTTGTAATATAAACAAAAGGTGAAATTGTGAAACATGCAACTGATTAAAAAGTATAAATGGTTAATTGTGTAAAACTTTAAATTTTCAGGTTCACTACTTTCCTCAAGGAAGATTCCTTGATGACTGTGAGGGGGCTCTTGCTCCAAGGAACTGGATTTATCTTTCCCTTCCATAGATCAAACATGTCTTCCATTCCTCATGTGATACTTACCCTATGGGTTTGACACTTCCTCCTGAATTAAATAAGTAAATTGAGGAGGTCAAAATAAACTACTGTATATAACATTTTTATTGATAAGAAAAAAATAGAGATGATACAGTAAAACAGAACTTTTCATTCACAAAGAAGCCAGGATGAATTGCACTTGAACTCTTGTCTGTTATTAACAACATGAATGGAAGGCACACGTAGGTTGTGGTGTTTATTTTCTAGATTTCCTGTGAGATATATGAATATATTTATCCTTGGAAATATTGTGAAGCATAAACAAAATGTTTTTTGTGTTAAACCAGATATAAGTGGACTTCATTAGTTATTCTTTTCATTTATTTTTAGAAAGTTTATGCATTATATAATACAGCCTCTCTTAACAATGGAGTTCCATTCCTAATACCATGTCGGTAAATGAATTCGTTGCTAAGTGAGGAGCATACTATAATGGTAGTGGGTTTGTGTCAAGCATCTTTGATATTGTTTTAATGTCACCTTTGCACCATTTATAACATTTCTGGTATATTTTTAAATGTTTATACAGTAGTGACTACACATGTGCATCTACCTTGGCTGATACCTATCTCCAATACACCAGGGAGGAAGGAGGGGCAGCTGCCAGCTTCAGGAAGTCTCAAAAGTCTAGAAAATGTGGAGAACTTGCCCATCATTATATGTTTGTTCCCATAGGCTCAGAGACCCTTGGCCCATGGAAAAGAGTGCATCTAAGTTTCTTAAGGGGCTAGGCAAAAGACTCATCAGGGTAACTAGGGATCCCAGGGCAGCTAGTTTTCTGTTCCAGCAACTCAGCTCTGCTGTTCAGAGGGGTAATACCTGCTGTATTTTGAGCACGCACCCCAGCTCTGAGGAGCTGGATGAGATTTTTGCATTATAGTCAGTGACAAACACATACCAATATGTACCAATATGTACACGCACCTCATGTACTGTATTCTTCTTCTTTCTTTCAACATACCAACCGTATCCCACCGAGGTGGGGTGGCCCAAAAGGAAAAATGAAAGTTAGTAATATATACAGGATAAGGGGTTACTAGTCCCTTGCTCCTGGCATTTTAGTCGCCTCTTACGACATGCATGGCTTACAGAGGAAGAATTCTGCTCCACTTTCCCATGGAGAATGTGTACTGTATATGCCATCTTTATATCAACAATGTATCTCTTAAATCTTTTGTACCATATTATGTAATAAAATATACCTATTGGTAGTGTACTATATATTGTAATAAACAGAATAGAGGAAATCAGCTCTAATATACATTACACTATTTAGGTATGCATACTAGTCAAAGGGCCCGTTGTAAGTTCAAGTCGTAGGTAAACGAGTACGTCGCTAAGTGAAGAGAGGCTGTACTCTAATATAAATTTCAGGTACACCATGGGACTGATTCCAACCAAGTGGAACTTGGAGTTTTGCAATCGTGTGTCGGCCTCATCATTCTGCCGTCGACGTCTACCGTGCATCATGGTTCGTAACAAAATGAGCCCAAATTTAAGCACTGCTATTACATTTATCGAGCACGGTCACATCCGCGTTGGTCCTGAAGTTGTGAAAGATCCAGCCTTTCTCGTTACAAGGTATTTCAGTAATATTTTTTTTTTTATATTTGCAGTTATGATGATGTTATTAAAATAATTTTTTTCTCTTTTTGTTTGGGAATTCTTTATCTAGTGTTGTACAGTGGTACCCTCAGTTTTGTACAGCTCCCAACTTGAACAATTATGTAATTGTGTTATTGTAAGTGCTTTTGTAAGTGTTTTTTGAGGGTCTGAAATGGATTAATCTAATTTACATTATTCCTTATGGGAACAAATTCATTTGGTAATGGCACATAAAACCTTCTGGAATGAATTATGTACGAAACTTGGGGTACCACTGTACATTGTAAATATAGGTTAATCTTTGGAATTTTAGCAATATCTGTAGCACAGGAAAATAAGCTTGTGAAAGGAAGCCTCTTTATCAGTAGATCTTGGATGTTCAATTCAGCGCTGAAGAAATCTAAAACAGACATTCTCGTCAGTTATAAAGATGATTATATCTCCCTTCTCTATTGTTAGGCTATGCCCTGTGATAACCTCCAGGTCAAGACTTTGTATACATTGTCACCCATACAGCTGCTGGTCATGTAACAATGCTTTACTTGACTGGCCAGTCGATGCATACAGTGGACCCCCGCATAGCGATTTTAATCCGTGCAAGAGGGCTCATTGTTATGCGAAATGATCGGTATGCGAATGAATTTTCCCCATAAGAAATAATGGAAATCAAATTAATCCGTGCAAGACACCCAAAAGTATGAAAAAAAAAAATTTTTACCACATGAAATGTTAATTTTAATACACACAAACTGAAAAAGGCATGCACAATTACATGACACTTACTTTTATTGAAGATCTGGTGATGATTGATGGGATGGGAGGAGGGGAGAGAGAGTGTTAGTGTTTAGAAGGGGAATCCCCTTCCATTAAGACTTGAGGTGTTGAGTCCTTTTCTGGGGTTACTTCCCTTCTTCTTTTAATGCCACTAGGACCAGCTTCAGAGTCACTGGACTTCTTTCGCACAACATATCTGTCCATAGTGGCCTGTACCTCTCGTTCCTTTATGACTTCCCTAAAGTGTTTCACAACATTGTCAGTGTAATAATCACCAGCACGGCTTGCAATAGCTGTGTGAGGGTGATTTTCATCCATGAAGGTTTGCACTTTCAAGCCACTTTGCACAGATTTCCTTAATCTTTGTAGTAGGCAACTTCTTCAATTTCTCTCTCCCCTCCTCTGAACCAGTTTCCTCAGGTCTGGCCTCTTGCTGTTGAAGTTGATCTATCAGCTCATCAGTGGTTAGTTCTTCATTGTCCTCCTCCACCAACTCTTCCACATCCTCCCCACTAACCTCCAACCCCAAGGACTTTCCCAATGCCACAATGGATTCCTCAACTGGCATAATCCTCTCAGGGTTAGCCTCAAACCCTTCAAAATCCCTTTTGTCTACACATTCTGGCCACAGTTTCTTCCAAACAGAGTTCAAGGTCTTCTTAGTCACTCCCTCCCAAGCCTTACCTATAAGGTTTACACAATTGAGGATATTAAAGTGCTCTCTCCAAAACTCTCTTAGAGTCAGTTGAGTTTCTGAGGTCACTACAAAGCACCTTTCAAACAGAGCTTTTGTGTACAGTTTTTTGAAGTTTGCAATAACCTGCTGGTCCATGGGCTGCAGGAGAGGAGTGGTATTAGGAGGCAAAAACTTCACCTTAATGAATTTCATGTCCCCATAAAGTCGCTCTGCCAAGTCTGTAGGATGACCAGGGGCATTGTCTAACACCAGTTAGTTAGGTAATCTTTCACATTGGGGGCAAATGCATGGTGTAGCCAGTCATAGAAAAAGTCCCTAGTGACCCATGCCTTACTGTTTGCCCTCCACAGCACACACAAATTCTCCTTGAGGACATTCTTTTGCCTGAACGGTCTGGGAGTTTCAGAGTGATACACTAATAAAGGCTTCACTTTGCAATCACCAGTAGCATTGGAAACACATCAACAAAGTAAGCCTGTCTTTTCATAGGCTTATGTCCTGGGAGTGCTTTTTCCTCCTGAGTAATGTAGGTCCTGCTTGGCATTTTCTTCCAAAACAGGCCTGTTTCATCACAATTAAACACTTGTTCAGGTTTCAGTCCTTCACTTTCTATGTACTCCTTGAATTCATGCACATATTTTTCAGCCGCTTTGTGGTCCGAACTGGCAGCCTCACCATGCCTTATCACACTATGTATGCCACTACGCTTCTTAAATCTCTCAAACCAACCTTTGCTGGCCTTAAATTCACTCACATCAGCACTAGTTGCAGGCATTTTTTTAATTAAATCCTCATGCAACTTCCTAGCCTTTTCGCTTATGATCGCTTGAGAGACGCTATCTCCTGCTAGCTGTTTTCATTTATCCACACCAATAAGAGTCTCTCAACATCTTCCGTCACTTGCGATCTTTGTTCGAAAACACAGTTAAAACCTTTGGCAAGAACAGCTTCCTTGATTGCCTTTCTGGTGCCCACAATAGTAGCGATGGTTGATTGGGGTTTCTTGTACAACCTGGCCAGGTCGGCGATAACGCACTCACTTTTATACTTATCATGATCTCTTTCTTCATCTTATTGGAATTCTCACCCTTATTGCTGTAGGGTTGGCACTAGAAGCTTTCTTGGGGCCCATGGTCACTTATTTTCCAGATAAAGCACCGAAAACACTGTAATAATACGAAATATTCCGATTGTATGCTTGGATGTTACCGCGGAGGCTGGCGGGTAAACAATGGCACGGGCGGCACATGTGAGGCTGGCTGAGGGCGCACATTGGACGCGTCTCGGACGAACAGCGGTGAGCGGGTTTTTAAGCGGTATGCGAGGCAAAATTTTAGCGATAAAATGTATCGGTATGCGGATTAAACGTTATGTGATGCCAACGGTATGCGGGGGTCCACTGTATTAACCCTTTCACAGTCGGTCCCATAATATTACGACTTGTAAGCCAGTGTTGGTCCTGTAATATGCCAAAATTCTAGTGGCTTCAAATCTTGTGGGAGAAAGCTGATAGGCCTACATATGAGAAAATGGGTCTGAGAGGTGAGTGTGCGCAGTATAAAAAAAAATCTTGCAGCATGCAGTGCATAATGAGAAAAAAAAAAACTGACCTTGTTTTTAGTTTAAAACACCGACTTTGCAGTGTATTTTCATATGGTATTTATGGGTGTATTCTTGTTTTTTTGGTCTCATTTGATAGAATGGAAGATATATTACAGAAACAGAGATATTTTTGAATGGTTGATGGACTAAAAGTACCGTGAAATTTAGCTCAGAGTAGCGGAAATGTTCGATTTTTGGCAATGTTCAAGAGTAAATGAATCACATCACGCTTTCAGTACACGTCAACTGGTGGATCTAATATGTTTTCACAAATGCACTGATATTTTTTATACTATTTTTACATAATGTAGTAGTCTGTATAACAGTAAATCTTCTGTTTTTTTGTGTGAATAAAAATTCAAAATGGAAGCAAGTGTAATATAAGAGGGGCCTGGAGACATGAGTAATGAACAGAAAAAATACTATTTTAGTGCTAGGAATGTTTGTATTGTAATTCTGAACCCTATTTTGAAATTGGCCTTGAATTGTGTATGAAATTGTCCAAATTACCAATTTCTGATCACTTTATTGGGTAGTTGAAATTGGTAAGTGGTTGGTTTCTTGTATTCAATTGATGTAACAAATGAAGTTCTAGTGAAATAGCTATGAGTTTGGTCAACCAGAACAATGGAATTGGCAGAAAATAGGTCTCAAAGTGGGCGAAATCACTGATGCGTAAACATCGCTGAGACCACTAACTTCATGAACGTGTGATTCCCTAAGTTTTCCATCAAATTTCAAACTTTTGGTGTCATTACCACTGGGAAAAGATTCTCTATCATTTCATATCATTGCAGGAGTATTATTATTATTATTATTATATAGTTAAGTAATACAGTGCTCCAGTGGGGGATGTGCAAAAGTAGAAACATGGAAAGGTACAATAACAAATACAGTGGACCGTCGACCAACGATGGCATCGACTAACAATAAAATCTGGCAATGATGCGTTTTTGCGTAAAAATATTGTCTTGACCAACGATGAAAAACTTGGGTAAGGACATTTGTCCCGAATGCGTCCACCTGTCCATCCAGCCTGAGCGTGCCTCAGCTGCCCTGCCTTCAGCTAGTGTGCCATTGTTTACAAGACAGTCCCGACGCTTGCACGTGTACCTGCGATACATTTTGTATTATTCCAGTGTTTTTAGTGCTTATAACTGCTAAATAAACCACCATGGGCCCCAAGAAGGCTTCTAGTGTAACCCTGTGGTAAAAAGGGTAAGAATTACAGTGGACCCTTGCCTATCGAACGCATCGCATAACGTTAAATCCGCCTAACGAAGTGTTTGAGCATAAAATTTTGCCCTGCCTAACGATAAAAAACTCGCCCAATGTGATTCGTCCGGGACCTGTCCACACTGCCCCATGGGTGCCAGTGTTTACAAGCCAGCCAGTGCAGTCACATCTATGCATACATTCGGTACATTTCACATTATCCCAGTGTTTTTAGTGCTTGTAACTGCAAAATAAGTCACCATGGACCCCAAGAAAGCTTCTAGTGCCAACCCTATGGTAAAAAGGGCGAGAATTAGTATGGAATTGAAAAAAGAGATTAAGGAAATGTGTGCAAAGTGGGCTGAACTGCAAACCTTTATGGATGAAACTCACCCTAACACAACTGTTGCAAGCCATGCTGGTGACTATTACAATGACAATGTTGTGGCCCATTTTAGGCAAATCTTAAAGGAACACGAGGTACAGAGCTCTATGGACAGATTTGTTGTGCGATAGAGGTCCAGTGACTCTCAAGCTGGTCCTAGTGGCATTAAAAGAAGAAGGGAAGTAACCCCTGAAAAAGGACTTGCTACCTCAAGTCCTCATGGAAGGGGATTCCCCTTCCAAACAATAACAACTTCCACCATCTCCCCTCCTCCCATCCCATCAATCATCACCAGATCTTCAA